ACAGCCACACCCCCACTGGCACAAGAACAGGCAGGTATGGTCCAGCAGGCAGCCCCAATTTGTGGGCCTTGCTTGCAGCTCTGCCAGGCCCTCCACGCATACCCACACCCCGGCGGGCTCACCGGGCTCCTGCAATGAAAGGCGATGATCTCCAGCACTGAGTTCTCCTCCCAGCTGTCCACAGAGGCCAAGTCATACAGCGACACCCGGACAGGTCCGTAGCACCACTCCGTGAACTTTCGAGAAAGAGGCTGGTATGGTCCCAAGAACTCCCGCTGCAGGATGTGCCTGAAAATCTGCAGGGCAGACACATGAGCTTGCCCTGCTGTGCCAGGGCTGGGAAACACCTAGCACCCCACGGAGCTGCCCACTGTCTGCAGAGCTGTGGCAGACACCCCATATGTACAGATCCCTGTGTGTCTAAACTCTCACACCCACCCACACTCGCCCCACCTGCCAGCCAGCCTTGCCGCTCCTTCCCTGCTCCAGCCCCAGCACCCTCTGTCCTGGACTTCTCAGATGGCAGAGACTCCCAGCCCAGGGTTCCTTGAGGCTCCTGGAGATCAGAGGCTACTAGCTATACGTGTGTGTGCACTTCTGTAGTCAGAGCTTGCAATGGACTAGAGAGGGGTTCCTAACCCAAACAAGTTAAGAAGCAATTTGATTTCACAAATGAGGAATGGGCGAAAGAAGGTGCAGACTGGGGAGTAGCTTCCACAGGCCACACAACAGCACTTCTAGACACCAAAGTGAGGTGCACGCTCTGGGACACTCCAGGAAACTTGGAAGGCAGGAAAAAAGTATCAAAATGTCTATTTATGTATTTGCGTTTATTTTTATCTTAACCTTTAAAAAATCCCCGTGTTCTAAGTGTTGGCCCCGTGTAACTGCACAGGTTGTACATCCATGAAGCCAGGCCTGAAAATATGTATCAGTTAACTGGCAGACCATTGGGGAAAAAGTGGAGCTGGATCATGCTTACTCTTTCTACCAAAATCGCTTTCAGATAAATCAAAATTTTAGGTATTCAAAATAAAACCGCTGGGGTCTGGCCCATGGCTCATTTAGGACAGCGTGGTGCTGACAACACCAAGTCAAGGGTTAAGATTCCCTTACCAGTCAAAAAACAATAACAAATAAATAAATAAGTAAATAAATAAAAATGCAAAAGTTTAGAAGAAAATATGCACATAGAAAGATGTATATATTATATATAACTATATTGTGTAATATATTATATATAATATGATTATAATCATTATATATTATACAATATAAAATATAATTGATGATGTTATATATTATATAATATATGTGATTATAATATACATATTATATATAATCTTGTAGCAGGAATTAAGCAATAGCAAAACCAAGGAGCCTTAAAGGAAATGATAATTACACTTGCATACATAAAAAAAAATTAATTTTGTATTGGAAAATACAGCATAAATTTAAAAACAATGAACCGAATGAAAGATTTGTAAATGTTATGGAAGACAAAATATTGTTTATTTTAAACGGTTACTAATCAATATGCAGAAAACCTAACAGCAAATCTAA